CTCCGGGCGGTCGCCGGCGGCCGGGGTTGGCGGAGGAGGCAGCCGCAGCAGCCCGGGCTCGGTGGCCGCTAGCCCGTCCGGGGGAGGCGGCCGCCGGAGGGAGCCAGCGCTTGAGGGCGTGCTCAGCAAATACACCAACCTCCTCCAGGGCTGGCAGAACAGGTAACGCGCCCGCCGGCCGCGCACCGCGCGCCCCTCCCCGCGCGCCGCGCAGTGTGTGTGTGTGGTGTGTGCGCGCGCGATGGGGCCACCGGCGACGGGGTCTGGCTCTCACCGTGCCTCCCTGCGTCCCTGCTCCCCCTCGAGGTGGGGTGCCCAGGCTGGGGGCGCTACGAGCCCACCCGGGATCGCACCGCAGGGGCAGAGAGAGAGGCGAGAGCCCCGGTTCCCTTCTGTGCTGGCACCTGCAGGGACGGGAGTGGCAGGGGGAGCGTCCTGGTCCCCGTGCCTGGCCTGCTAGCCGTTTCCCGCACCAGTGAAGAACAGCCGAGAAAGGGAGGCAGAGGAGGCCGGCTTTGTGCTCGGCAGCAAAAGCGTTAACACGTCTGGTCCATTCACAGCAGTTCTCTTCACAAAATAGTTCGTTTTAAACTTTGGTGATTAAAACAAGAACCACCACCACAAAACCCCTGCCACTTGTCATCTTCAGCGCCCACTAACGCGCATGCAGTATCCCCTCTCCAGTTGGCGGTTTGAACCTTCAATCTCTGCAAAGGAAATTTAGTGGGTTTTTTGTTGGTTTTAACATTTTCTCCCCTTTCGGAATGGACAGTTTGCTTTTTACATTATTATTATTATTATTTCTCCTCTCGGTGCTTTTTGAAGTTTTCTTCTTTCTCTCCGCTACGGTTGGGAATATGGACACGTGGGCGGATAAGGATGTCTAGGGAAGCGCCCTGGCACACTTGGGGTGGTGGTAGTGCCGGGACTATTGTAATCAGGAAGACTTAAAAGGAGTAGATGTGGTACTGCTCTTTCGGATTTTTTAGTTTGTTTTTCAGAAAGAAGCCAGAAGGAAGTATGAATTGTTCATGCGAGTGGAAGAGGATTTTCTGGAAAGGGGATCTTTTGTTTGCCTTTTATAGCGGATGGATCTTAATAGACTTGGCGCTCTTACGGTGCTGTGATATTGGAATCACACTCCGGGGGTCTTGCCTATGTCTGTTGGTTAAACTAGATTCTTAACTTGGCCATGTCTTCCTGTAGCTTGTTTGGAAATGTTCAGACTGAACATTCCAGCTGAAGCATGGCGAGCAGATGTTGTGCGTATGGAAACCAGGTTGTTTTACTATTGATAGAGAACGTTCCGAGGCCCCTGGCTTTCCTTGGGGATCTGTTACTAGGTTCATCAAAGTTGCACTTTAACTTTTGAATCCTTTTATTTCTCTTGCCTCTCCCTTTCCCCTTTCAATTCTTTTTTTTTTTTTAAATAATTTTTTAAAATTGTAGTTTAGTCCCGTTTCAATTCTTGAAAGCTGAAACAGAATAGGTAGAGTGTGAAGGAAGAGAGAGATGAGGTGACCAAATGTGAGTTTAGGTCTTGGTTATTGTGTCTTGGTTATTGTACCTTGTTACTGTGTCTTGTCGGTGACAGCATTTTGGTTAGGCGTTGGGCAATCACTTTTAATGCTTTTTCTTCAAGTAGCTTATGATGCCAACAGAGCTTTTACCCTGGATCACAGTTATTTTACTTTCTTGGGGACAGTATTTTACCTGCAACATGTATTAAAGGATTTGTTCTTTGGGGTGGATTTAGGAGGAATTGGAATAACTCATGCTTTTGCATAATTGGAAATCCATTTGGGTGTTTACATTGGAGGCAAGGTTGAGAAGAGGCGAAATCATCAGCATCATTTCATGCGACTGCAGGCAGCGTAGGTGAGAGTGGCATTGTGTACACTGTTGAGTTTGTTTACTGTGATTTACAGCTGTCTGCTGAGGTTTGTCCTTACCGCAATAGCCTGTTTTCCAAGTCTACTACCCACTCCAGAAGCATTGTCTCGTTCTAATGGTTGATGCTTTAGTGTCGCGGTTTATATTTCCCACATCCGTGTTCTCTGAACGATGGCGAGGGTCCATTAGTGATCTGGAAAAGATTTGTGATGGTTTTGTGATTGCACACTTCTTGCTTCTCAGGGGGTCTTATAAAAGGAGATCTGGGTCGGTGACTAGAGAGAAGAGGATGAAGATAGAAAACTTGAAAATGTGTTCATTTGCTTCTTAATAGAGTCAGTGACTATTTTACCGATCACCTAGGCAGTCTGATTCCAAAAGGTCACAGCCTTGAAAACCTTATGGAGCCGTTCTGTTCTGCACACATGTGGTGGCCGTGAGTCGGAATCCACTGGAGGACAACTAACAGTGACAGACCAAACCCATGATTCGTACTCACAGCAACCCTACAGGACAGAGGAGAACTGCCCCATAGGGTTTGCAAAGCTATAATCTTTGCAGAAACAGATTGCCATATATTTCTCCTGTGGAGCAACTGGTGAGTTCCAACCGCCAACCTTTTGGTTAACAGCTGAGTGCTTAACCACTGCTCCACCAGCTCTCTTTTAACAACAACTACGTACCAAAGGAGTCCCTGGGTGGTGCAAACAGTTAAGCCTTGACGACTGGCCCAGAGGTTGGGAGTTCGAATGCAGCCAGAGGTGCCTGGGGAGACAGACCTGGCGATCTGCTCACGAGAGGTCAGAGCCTTGGAAACCCCTATGGAGCAGTTCTACTCTGCGCACATGGGGTCGCCGTGAGTCGGAACGTACTCGGAGGGCAGCTAACAACAACAACGCTGTACCAAACACAGTCCCAGGAGCTGGAGTTCCACCAGGGACGTCTTCTCATGAAGCAGTAGAAGAGACTCAGAATTCAAAAGTAGATGGAGCCCCTTCCTAGCCTGGGGGGCCCAGGGGAACACCTTGGTGCAAATAGGTGGGTTAACTGATTCATGCTGCCTTCCTTTTTGGGCCTTCCAGCATCTTCCTTTGGCAGTTCTTTTCCAGTCCTGTACAGCTAATGACACATCCCCAAGCCACTCACTTCTTGGTGAATCCTCCTAGGTTGCTGAGCTGTTTGTAATGCCCTTCAACTGCTCCCAGGGTTTAACACCAAATCAACCACTAAGATTTATTTACCCTGATACCCTCTTGCATGTCCTCAAGTTGCTGTGAAACTTACATTTAACAGTCAGCATCATATTCTGCCTTTATTTGCAGCACCCTCAGCCCCAACACCAGGGCCTTAGGAAGGCAGCTTGGGCCAAAGCACAGACTAAATGGCATAGAGAGAGGACATGGGAGAGTGGCACAGGGGTTGAGAGCTACAGCTGCTAACCAGAAGGTTGGCAGTTCAAATCCACCAGCTGCTCCTTGGGAACTCAATGGGGGCAGTTCTGCTCTGTCCTATAGGGTCGCTATGAGTCTTGGAGTTGATGGCAACGAGTTTGGTTGTTTTTTTTTAAGGAAAACATTTCAGATATAATAGAACTGTATAGACTTACAGGATGACATTGAAGAGTCAATGCATCTAAACAAATGAACAAGGAAATTGCAGCAAGTGTCAAGCGCAGTGAGGGTTAAGAAGGGACAATGAGATAAAGGCAAGAGTTTGTGGAAATAATTTTAAGTGTGGATCTAGGGTCTTTACTAGGGGTCCCTGGGTGGCACAAATGGTTAAGCACTCAACGACGAACCTTAAGGTTGGCAGTTCAAAGCTACCCAGAGGTGCCTTGGAAGACAGGCCTCGCGACCTGCTGCTGAAAGGTCACAGCCTTGAAAACCCTGTGGAGCAGTTCGTCTCTGCACACATGGGGTCGCCATGGGTCGGAATCAACTCGCCAGCAGCTAACAACAGCAGCGTCTTTACTGCTGTTCACTTTTTAGTCTGGAGCACTATCTTACTGCTTGCTTTTTTGGTTTTCACACTTTAGATCAGGGAGGGTGTCTGAGGAGGTGACGTCATTTGAGCCAGGAGACAGAAGAAGCAGACGAAGAGAGCACTCGAGGCAGGCGGCACAGTCAGTGCAAAGGCCATGCGGTGGGAACAGACTTCATTTGATGCCCAAAGACTGAGTGGCTGGAGCTGAGTGGACCAGGGGCAGAGGGAATCTCGGAGCTTGGGGAGGCAGGCTGGTGCCAGATCACACAGCGCCTTGCAGGCCGGGGTTAGAATTTCAGATGGTGTTCTAGTTGTGCAGGAAGGATTTTAGGCTGGGGGGTGACATGGTCGGATTTATGCTGAGAAGCATTCACTCTGACTGCTGGGTGCAGATGAGGACTGAGACTGGAAGCGGGGAGACCAGCTAGGAGACCATCGCAGTGGTTCTGGCAAGAGATGCTGGGGGCTGGGACTTGGGAGGTGGGGAAGTGGAGAGAAAGGACAGGTTTGGGAGGTGTTTTGACTCATGGTGACCCCATGTGTGTCAGGATAGAACTGTGCTCCATAGGGCTTTCAACAGCTATGATCTTTTGGAAGTCGATCTCCAGGACGGAAATTGCTTGATGGGTTGGTGATAGAGAGGATGAAGGATAACTCTGGAATTGTAGCCTGAGAGGCTGGGAGGATGAGGTGTCATTTATGGAGATGAGGATCACAGGGGAAGAACGTGTTTGTGGGGAAGATGGGGGCAGAGTTCTGTGTGGACTGTTCAATGTGAGATGCCCGTTGCTAGTATGAAATTGGATGTGTAAACTTGTACAGCCTAAGTCTGGTCTCGAACCAAAATGGAACTACTTTGGGGTTGCCCGTAAAGACAGGTATTCTAGGAAAGAATTTCATATTAGATCTAAGAACTGGTGCTTGAATATTTAGGGGTCTTGTCTGCCATTCACTTTTTGTTTTGTTTGGAGAAAAGAGGATCCTGCAAATACAGAACCAGCTTCCAATTCATTTTTTGGTGGTGGGTGGGATATTCCTTGTTGGGTGCTGTCTTAGTTATCTAGTGCTACTGTAACAGAAATACCACAAGTGGATGGCTTTAACAAACAGAAGTTTATTCTCTCGCAGTCTAGTAGGTTAGAAGTCTAAATTCAGGGCATCAGCTCCAGGGGAAGGCTTTCTCTGTCAACTCTGGCAGAAGGTCCTTGTCATCAATCTTCCCCTGGACTGGGAGCTTCTCCGCATAGGAACCCTGGGTCCAAAGGATGTGCTCTGCTCCTGGCACT